GATCCTTGACAGCAGAATTCATCTGTCTTCAGCAGTACTTACAGCATTAAGGCAAGCTGAGAAGTTTCATTGTGGTTACACCTCAGGAACGCTCTCAGATGTAGGCGTTTGGCATTTTTCCGTTCCTTACCAGTTTGAGTTCACTTAACGCTTGAAAAGGCCTATTGGACGTCCAAAAAAGCATCGCAAGAAGGATCCCACTGAAGAGCTTATGAAGACTTACAAGAAGCTTAGAAAAACTTACACAGTTCAATGCTCCAAGTGTGATGAGACTGGTGATTACCCCAAGACATGTAAGGGACCTGCTGGTGGATCAAAGAAAAAAACTAAACCGGTTAATGTTGAAGTTGGCTAGTCAAGGACAGTTGAAGTTGGCCAGTCAAGGACAGTTGAAGAAATCATCATGAGCATGAGTCAGAGCTGCCCTCCACTAGAGACAAGCAGCCAGTATGCACCAAATGCAGCTAAACCAAGAGGCAGCAGCCCACCACCATGCAATCCTGCTAAGGCAGTGACCAGTGAGAAAGCAGCTACAGCTAGAAGTGGCACCAGAGCCAGATTCATGAGCTTTATGACTACACCAGGATTCAGGGCACCTAGGCCAGCCCCACATAACTGATTTGGAATTGTAATCACTGACATTAGGCCAGTTCGAATGTGACAGTTGGCATTTTTTTTGCACTTATTAGGCCAGTAGCTTGGAATTGTAATTAGGCCAGATTTTTGGTATTAGTTTGGTATTGGCCCTGTTTAAATTATTCACCAATGGCTTTTTTTTGTATGCCTCTGGTTATAGCCATATTAAGTATGAACACTTTGTTTTCTGGGAAGACAAAGTGTTCCTACTTAATGGTTTATTATGTCAATTGGAATTGTAAGTACAAAGTGATGATATCAATGGAATATGTTTTTTTGGATTACTAAATCTTTTATGTCATTACTATTTTTCATTGCTGTCATTGATGTGAAATGAATGAAAGATTATGTCAGTTTGGTTACTATCTGTATTCACTGTCATGACTGTATTCAATACTGTGAAACAATACTATTTTTTGTTTCTGTCATTACCATCTCTTTGGCAAATTGCTTGTCCTGCTTATATTTTGTATGCTGTGTCATTTTGGGGTCATGTGTAAACATACCTGAACTTAGCACATTGGTCCCTGTTATATACCTTATAAGTCCTCCACAAATTTTATCGAGGACCATTTTAGTCCCTGTTATTGTCCACAGTTGGCCACATTGGTCCCTAACAAATTCATCGGGGCCCAAATTAGTCCATGCTAAACATGACAGTAAGACCAATGCCACAAAAAACTGTTACCACAAAAAGCTCTTTCCCCCCTTCTGTATAATTCCCTCCATCCTTGTATTTAGTGTTCATACAGTCTTTTGACTTTTTAATTGGCATTTACAGATAACTTAATACTTAGCAGATTGTGCTTTAAGAACAATCAAGTTCAAGGACATTAACCAAATTATATACATTGCATGAACAACATCTCATTATATCCCAACATTGGTCTTTCCATTACAGAGAAGCATACATATTACAGATTAAAAATGAACATTTCACTCCACCCTACTACAAAGATATAAACATATTACAAAGACAATGATAATGGATCCAGCAAACACCCTAGCACACCTACACACATGCATCATTTCCTTCTCAACCCTTTCAAAGTGTGCCTGCATCTTCATTGATATGTCTTCAATCTTTATACAGTGCTCACTAATCTTCTTTTTGTGGTCATTCACCTCCAGCTGCAGTTCATCATTGAGCTTCATGTCCAAAAAGTTCAACTTGAACTCCATTTCAGCTACATTCAACTCCAGCTTGTTAATTGTCCAATCTTCCAACTCCATGGTATCAGATGTAGCATCATCCACCCATGTAAAAAAGTTACAGTGTGGCTTCTTTTCCTAAACCAAATTCAACTATACAGTTAATAAGATTGACATACCAAAAATAACGCATGAAAAAATTAACCTCACCTTGAAGTTGGGGCACCCAAAAAATGATCTATTAGAGTTTCTAGGTGTCTTGGAGGTGTAAACAACACTGTGCCTCCCACATTTACACAATGGAGCAACTCTCTTTCTTCCACTTTTGGACCCAAATGAACTACTTGAGCTCCCCCTTCCAGAAGACATAATCATGGGATAAAAACAAAGAACAACCCTAAATCGAACATTATACACCCACCTTCCCTACACCGTCAATCAATTTTTCCCAAATTCATGCTTCAACCTTCGATTCGATGCCATGCTTTCTGGTTTAAGTTGAACCCTAACAAACAAACGACGACGTTTCTTGGATGAAAGAGAACTGGTGTGTCCAACGTGGATGGGTTTCAACAAATGACGTCGTTCTTCCAACACACGTGGGCTTCAGCATGTCACTTAACGTGACACATCATCACCGTCATTCACACTGTCACTTTTGGATTGACAGAAGGACTAATGTGGGTCCTATTTCACATTGTTGGGGACTATTCAACAAGTTTATTTTTCTTAGGGACTAATTTGGCCACCGCATTTTTTGTCAGGGACCAATTTGGGTCTTTACTCTTTTACAAATATTGGAGTTATATAGACGTTAATCAATGAGATAACTCAACCTTGGGTGGTTCTCTCAATTGGGGAAATCATGAACTTCTTCGACTACTTCATGATATGGCTTGCTGTCACTGATCGAATTGCCAAACTCCAAGTTTGGCAAATGTGTCTCTACTTTATGATATGGCACAAATTCTCTGTCTTTTGCCAATATACCGGTGCTTTAGTCACAGATGTCAAGAACTTTCCCGAAAGCAGTGGCAATATTTTGGGCCTTCTCAAGGGTTATGTTGGTCTAAGTGGTGCCATTATCACACAACTCTACCATGCTTTCTATGGTGATAACTCACAAGCTCTTATCTTACTCATTGCTTGGCTCCCTTCCTCTAGTTCCCTTCCTTTACCTTCCAACAATTCGGATATTGAACACACTACAAAAACCCAACTAGGAAGTCAAAGTTTTCTATCACCTTTTATATATCTCCCTTGGCCTAGCTGGGTTTCTCATGGTATTGATCATTATCCAGAACAAGCTTGAGTTTTTTCAAGGATTGAATACATTACCGAGCATTGAATTTGTTGGATTACAATCTGAAAAGCACGTACATACATGTAAAATTTGCGTGTCGGACAGGTGGACACGTTCGGACACGCGTTCGACACGCGGTCAACATTTGGGGACACGCGGTCAACTCTCTGACACGTTCCAACACGTTTTTTCTACACGCAATCAACTTTTTCCGACACACGGTCAACGCTCGGACACATTTTCGGACACGCTCGAACATGTTTTTTTTTTGTTTAAATCTTAATTTTATTTTGTTAACTAAAAATAAAAGAAATGATTTATAAATTAATTTTTTTCTACTATGAAATTTGACATGAAAATTAACAAAGTACGACAAATTATTTATATTTATATTTATATTTACGTTATAAAATTTAAATATTTGATTGGTTATATGACTTATTATGGACTCTTATATGTATTAAATATAAATTATATTATATATATTAAAATTTTTATTTAATATCAAAACGTGTCCCAACGTGTCGAAATATGATATTTTTTAGAAACTAATGTGTCGGCGTGTCGTGTTGTGTCGTGTCCCGTGTCTCGTGTCTGTGTCCGTGCATCATAGATTACAATAATTAATTAATTATTAATTCTCATTTAATTTTAATAATTAGATGCATAAAAATCAACACTTAAACTTATAATTTTTTTTATACCAGTATAAGTTAATCTTGTCCCATGTGTGCGTGTGCGTGCGTACATGATTCATGCATGTCTTTGTTCAAATAGATAAAACTGAGCATAAAGACATAACGACTTTGATGATCAAATCAATGGATTAAAATAGAGGTAAGTGCAAACATATATCAAATATTAAGATTTGATGTCGAATATTTTAGTTTGACACCACACCAGTGTCTAAAGTTCCTAAGTCATTCAATGTTTGTAATCCTTTTAAATTATTTTAGTATTTTATTGCTCTGAATTAAATGTCATTTGGAATATAATATTAGTGAAATATTGAAATTTTCAATCACACATTTTTTATTTGGAAAAAGTGTTTATTCTTTTAAATGACACATTTTATTGTTGGGAGGAGGATATTTGAGAAAAATAAAGGTTATAGAAAAATATGGAGGAAGAGAACACTTTTATTACTACACAACTCTTTTTCTCTTTTGGCTTGTTGACTTGATACAAAATGATGGAGATGACCCCTATTTATACTACTGGCACCTCCACAAAACAATGGCTCCAAATAATTCTAGAGTTTTCTATACTAGCCTAGTACAATTATTAATTGTGGTAGGTGCAACTACCCTTATTAATAATAGTAGGTGCAACTACGCTCTAGAACTTTCATGGAATTGACTAGAATAGAAATTTCTAGATCTTTGACCAAACTAACTCCTAAAGTATAATTCTAGATGTTGGGCTAAATGTATACTAAGCCCAACGCACCAAAAAACTAAATCAAGTTTATTTATGCAACACTTATATCATTTCACTCTCACAAAGAGGTGAGACTCAAACCTTTATTTTTTTTGGTAAATTCTCTCTCTTTCTTTATCTATCTCTTTTTCTCTTCCTTTATCTATCTCTTTCTCTCTCTTAAAATGACACAACTTTACATCCTTTAATTTAAGATGAACACACTTTGCACTTTTTATTTTGCTAGAAATAAAATTTAATTTATTATATTTCTATTTTTATATTTATTTTCATAGAAGATCATAAATTTAAAACCTACGTATGAAATTCAAATCACTGGGTTATAACAGTCCAACTATGGGTCAATCAATACGTTAACTTGAAGACAAGATGTAAACTGATTGTAATGACAGGCCAAAGTTTAAAATATTTTCATTTTTTTTCCTTCGTTCCTCCTGTGATAGAGAATACAAGCCTAGAGCCTAAAAAAATGAATACCAACGAAGGAGCAGATCTCATTAGCAATCTTCCTGATGCACTCTTAGCTGCTATCATATCCCTCCTTCCAGGCTCCGAAGGTGTGAGAACCAGCATACTTTCCCAGCAATGGAAAACAGTCTGGAAGCACTCTTCGCACCTCAGCTTCAATCAGAGACAAATGTTGAGGCCTTTAACCGAATCATATCTTCAAACTACGACCCCAAACATCATGCGTCTTAACGCGATTTTGCGTCATAAGGTAATGCCTAGAGAGGAAGGAGATGCAGATGCAATTGGCGAAGCAGCAATGTTGATCAATTCAGTCCTGGATACTCACTCTGGTCCCTTAACAAGTTGCAAGATTCGACACATGGTCGAGAGTTGCACGAGTGGGGAAGCTGTGGGGTGGATGAAGAAGCTTTTGGAGCAGAAAGGGGTGAGAGAGCTTTCCATGGAAGGCGAACCCCCTCTTAATGCATTTTTTCTACAAAATGGAGAACATACTTTGAGAGAACATGGAATGATTCTTGATTTGCCTTTTGAGACTTTTTCAGGTTTTGAGGTGCTTCAATTGAAGAACTATTACCTTAACACCTCACCCTCATGTGATGTACCTCAAAATCTGAAAACCCTAACATTAATTAACGTGAATTTACCGCCAGAGGGTTTGCAAGGGATTCTGTCTAGTTGTTCATCACTTGAAAATCTAACCCTTGATGAATGTGGTTTCAGAAAAAAAGTTAAGATTGACAGTCCAAGTCTCAAATTTTTAAAAATTTGTAGAATGAATGTGAATGAGATTGTGATTTCTATGAATCACAGGTCCTCTAATGGTGTTTCTCTCAAACACTTCAAACACACAAGGAGTTCTCTGAATATACCTCTTTGTATATCTTTTAACATTCAAGCCTTACTTTTAAATGATTTACATCGTGCTATTTAAAAGCAATAGCAAATAACTAGAAATACTAATGACTAACTTAGGAAATCTAAACACATTAATGACTACTTCTTAGAAACTTTAAACTCATTAATGTCCACTAACAAATTCCTAAGGGACACACCTCTTCACCACAAAACCTTTCATTTTCTATTTACTTTTATTCAAATAAAGTTTAAAACCCAACAAAAATCCTCCTTAAACTTTAATATCTCTACCATCCTTCATTCCCATCTTGCATACTTGTTGTCAACTCGGATTTCGGTTGCGTCGACTTGCCCTTGCTCCAGCTTGCTTAGTAAATTCCTTAGCCATATTGCATGGCAAACACACCAAGATGCCGCAACATACTCGGCTTCACATGTAGACAGGGTCACAATGGGTTCTTTTTTTGATACCCACGTGAAAGCCGTGTTTCCCATGAAAAACACATAGCTAGCCGTGGTCTTTCTATCATCAACATCTCTGCACCAATCACTGTCTGAATAACCAGTCAACTTGTATTTGTCCGACTTCGAGTAATGAAGTCCTTGTGAGATTGTTCCCTTCACATATCTCAGAATTCTCTTAGCCGCCTTCCAGTGAGTGCACCCCGGGTCTTCCATAAATCGACTTATGATCCCAACACTCAGACACAGATCCGTCCTCGTACACCTCAAGTACCTCAGACTTCCAACTAGACTTCGGTAGTAACTCGGATCAACTCTCTCTCTTCCATCATACTTTGAAAGTTTCAACCCGGGTTCCATTGGCGTTGAAACTGGGTTGCAGTCTGTCATTTTAAACTTCTCTAAAATTCCTTTTGCATAGGCTTCCTGAGAGACGAAGATCCCGGATTTGTCTTGTCTGACCTCCAGACCAAGAAAATACCTCATCAGACCAAGATCCGTCATCTCGAACTCCTTCGTCATTTTCTTCTTAAAATCTTGAATCATCCCTTCATCATTACCCAAGAAAATCAGATCATCAACATATAGAGCAACAAGTAAAATTTTACCTTCCTTCTTCTTTACATAGAGAGCATGTTCATATGAACACTGCTCAAATCCATCCTTTTTGAAGTAATTGTCAATTCTTGTGTTCCAGGCTCTTGGGGCCTGCTTCAATCCATACAAGGCTTTCTTCAGTCTCAACACTTTTCTTTCTTCTCCAGCTTTCATGAATCCCGGAGGTTGTTCCAGATACACCTCCTCTTCGAGTACTCCATTTAAGAATGCCGACTTCACATTCATCTGATAGATCGGCCATCCAAATTGGGCTGCTTGAGAGATCAACAGCCTGATTGTCTCCATTCTTGCTACGGGTGCGAACACCTCGTCATAATCAATGCCAGCCTTCTACCTATACCCTTTCGCCACTAGCCGGGCTTTGTATCTTTCGATCTCTCCCTTAGCGTTCATTTTCTTCTTGTAGACCCATTTCACACCAATGGGCCGACTTCCTCTGGGCAGCTCAGCTAACTCCCACGTCTTGTTTTTTTTATCGCCTTTATTTCCTCCTCCATGGCTGATTGCCATTTCTCATCTCGGATTGCTTCTTCAAAGCTTACTTCTTCAGAATCTGCCAACAGACATACCAAGCGTGCTTCACTGGTGGAATCATACAAATCTTGTAGACTCCTCAATCTCGGTTGTCTCTGCTCTTCATCACTATCTGAGTCATTCGGATTCTCAGGAATCCGGGTCGAAGGTTGTCCGACCTCAATTGATTTAGTCCGGGTTCCATATTGACCCCGGATGGACTACTCCAGTCCCATCCATCTTCCTCATTCACTTTTACATCTCGGCTCACCAACACCTTTTTATTGACGGGGTCCAGCAACTTGTACCCCTTCGTCTTCTCATCATAGCCAATAAACACATACTTCTTACTTTTATCTTCTAGCTTTGTCCTCAATTGATCCGGTATGTGTGCATACACAACACTACCAAAAATCTTGAAATGAGCCACTGATGGCTTTAGACCACTCCATGCTTCTTGTGGAGTTTTATCATTCACACTTGAGTGCGGACATCGGTTTTGCACGTACACGGCACATTGCACGGCTTCTCCCCAGAACTCCTTTGGCATGTTCTTCGTTTTTAGCATAGATCGGACCATATCCAGGATAGTCTGGTTCTTTCTCTCAGCTACTCCATTCTGCTGGGGCGAGTACGGAGCGGTCAGGAACCGCCTTATCCCATGTTCTTCACAATACTTCTTGAAAGCTGTTGACACGTACTCCCCACCTCGGTTTGAGCGGACCGACTTGATGTATCTTCCAGTACCATTCTCTATCATTGTTTTAAAACTCCTGAATGTCTCTAGCACCTCGGATTTTTCCTTCAAAAAATACACCCAAGTCTTTCGACTGAAATCATCAATAAAGGTTACAAAATACTTCTTACCACTGAAAGACCCCGGAGCAATGGGTCCACACGGGTCGGTATGTATCAACTCCAGAGGCTGCCTAGCTCGGTATCTCGCCATCCTTTGGAATGGGCTTCTCGCATGTTTTCCCAATACGCAGTCCTCGCAAAATCTTCCTTCTGAATTAATCTTCGGTAGTCCCACTACCATGTCCTTCTTCATCATCTCGGTCAGACCACCATAATGAAAGTGTCCAAACCGTCTATGCCACAAGTCCATCTTATCTTCTACCCCGGCTTGCAGACAACCGACCTCCATGCTCCTTAGACTCAACTTGTACATTCTGTTCTTTTCCATCTGAACTCGGGCTATCAGACGCCCTTGTTTGTCTTTCAACAGTAGAACTCGGTCTGTTATTAGAACCGAGTAACCCTTCTCCATCAGCTGTCCAATGCTCAATATGTTACTTTTGAGCTCGGGCACGTAATACACGTCCCGGATTGTACCAACTCGTCCATCCTTTTGCAAGAAACAGATCGTACCTCGGCCCTTTACTTCAATTTTGGACGCGTCTCCAAAAGAGACATGTCCGGCTTCCACCGTCTTCAACTCCTTAAACAAGTGTTTGTAACCACACATGTGATTACTGGCACCGGTATCCAAATACCACTCCGTCTCATTCTTTGAACTGGTTTCACCATGGGCTAGCATAAGAACTCCTCCATCTCCTTCTACAGCGAGGTTTGAAGCCTCGTCAACTCTTCTTTCATCTCGGAAATCCTTAGCGAAATGCCCAACTCGGCCACAGTTGTAAGACTGGTCCGAGTTGCAATCTCTTGAGTAATGGCCATACTTGCCACACTTGTAACATTCCACATTTGTTTGATTTGACCACCGGCCTCTTCCACCTCGGCCACGTCCTCTTCCTCTCTGACTCGACTCAGCTCTTTCTTCATTTCTCACCTCATGACCTCGGCCACGACCACCACGGCCATTTCCACGTCTTGCTCGTCCACGACCTCTACCTCGGACATTTTGAGAATAGAGCGCCTTCTCATCTTTAATGGTTGCTTTTGTCTGGAGTGCTTGCTCCAGCGACTCCTCCTTTTTCTTCTTCTTGCGCTACTCATGCGCCTCAAGGGAACCTGCTAGCTCTTCAACAGAAAGCGTAGCCAAGTCCTTCGACTCCTCAATTGCACATACCACGTTTTCGAAGTCGTCTGTCAACGACCGGAGAATCTTTTCAACAACTCTAGTCTCAGATAATTCCTCACCATTCTGCTTTAACTGATTCACCACGGCTTGAACGCGGGTGATGAACTCGGATACACCCTCTGAATCTTTCATCTTCATGCCTTCCAACTCGCCACGTAGAGTTTGAAGTCGGACCTGCTTTACTCGGTCAGCACCTTTATAGACATTTTCCAAGATGTCCCATGCTTCCTTAGACGTCGTTGCTCCTCTATCTTCTCAAATCCGGACTCGTCTACAGCTCGGAAAAGCGTATATAAGGCTGACTTGTCCTTCGCACGCGTCTCTTTCAACGCCTTGGTTTGAGCTGCTGAGTATCCTGCGGTAGTTGCAGGTTCAGCAAAACCGTCATGAATAACATCCCAAGCATCCTGGGATCCGAGCAACGCCTTCATCTGGGTACTCCAATTCACGTAATTCGCCTTTGTCAGGCGGGGCAACGACATACTGGAAGTGCTCACACTCTCCATAACTCAAGCTCTGATGCCAATTTGTGAATCACAGGTCCTCTAATGGTGTTTCTCTCAAACACTTCAAACACACAAGGAGTTCTCTGAATATACCTCTTTGTATATCTTTTAACATTCAAGCCTTACTTTCAAATGATTTACATGGTGCTATTTAAAAGCAATAGCAAATAACTAGAAATACTAATGACTAACTTAGGAAATCTAAACACATTAATGACTACTTCTTAGAAACTTTAAACTCATTAATGTCCACTAACAAATTCCTAAGGGACACACCTCTTCACCACAAAACCTTTCATTTTCTATTTACTTTTATTCAAATAAAGTTTAAAACCCAACAATTTCTGCATTTACCCGTGATGTCATAGAGTTTCTTACCATTGTTTCTAAACCTCTAAGACTAGATTTAAAGGTTCCAAAACTTAAGGTTCTCCGTTGTTACAATGATTTCAAACATGAAGGGAGATATTATTTTGAATTTGGACATAAGCTTTTTACCTCAATGGAGATTCTAGAAGCTTGCCGTGATATTCAAGTATGTATTTCTTCTCAACCAGTCTATACTGCACTAAATCATCAATTGATTTGAATGATAACAATTTGTTATTGCATGAAATGTTAGATCACTTTGGTATTAATAAGGTTACAGTTGTGTTGTGGTTGTGTCTAGTTAATGCAATGTGCATTTGCTTGCAATTGAGATATTGTGGCTCTATCATGTTATGCTGTCTACAATTTAAACCTTATGATATACTTGTTTCATTTAGAAGTTTATGTAGACATATTCTTCACACCTCAATTTAAACCTCTATTTCTTTTATATAGTTGTGTTTTGCTTTTGTTTCAGAATCCTCAGAGTTCAAGCATCGTCAATGTATTTGAGAATCTGGTTACTATCTGCATTGAATTAGATTTGAACAATGACAGAAATGTCATATCTCTCTCTTATGCCCTTAGATCTCTCCCTCATTTGCAGAATCTTGAAATAAACAACGAGGTGCACTTATGCTTACTTTAGTGAAATGCTTGTAATTTTCCTTTTATATTTATGTGTGCATTTATATGGGTCTCATGACATAGTTTTTTCCTGCTGCAGGTGAAGAATGATTCTATGGATCACTATAGTAATGTGTTTGGTGAAGATGAAGATGATTTTCTCTTATTCCCTAAGCATTTTGAGTGTATTTATCGCCGATTGAAGACCCTTTGCATAAGGGGATACACAGGAGAAGAACTTGAAGTTGAATTTGTTAAGTACATAATAACAAGTGCTGGAAAGATGGAGGGGATCACCATTTGGTTTGTTGATGATTGCTCATGGGCACAAGCCACTGCAACTTTGTGTTTGTTGTCATTTCCAAAGGCCTCTACGAAATTGTCAATCACTCTCAAACCTGGGATGGAGTACATGACAAAAGTAGGTGGGAGCTTTGAAAAGTGGATCTCAACTCTAAAACTATATTAATGGTGACCAAACTGTATTTTTCGTTGTAATTTCTTGGTCGTAAACAATGCAACTTTCTTGTCAAATTGCTAAATTACAGAATAACTGTATTGTTTATTTCTTGTTTGGTATGCTGTGTTTTTAATATATTTTCATTGATTATATTTAGGGAAATGAGATAATTATCTCATGCAACAGAGACAAAAATAGCGGGGTCCATTATTTTTTCTTTTTTTGAAAAAGTAATGAACCCCCACAATCATATCTCTGTTGCATGAGATAATTATCTTCATGCAACATGAGATTAATAGATCCCTTATATTTATGCCTATTACTTCTGCAAATAGCCTACAACCATAAACAAAAGATTAACTTGAATGTGTTTGGCAAAGGTACATCAATGATGCACGAGGATTTTGGATTTGAGACATAAACTTTACACAAAAAGTCCGTTAAAATGGATAATGAAATCCAGAAGACTCGTGTGGTGAACTGATCATGAGCCTCCTTAGAGGTTATACACCAAATCAAAATCAAGGCGTATGTTTGCTTCCACATAAACTTCCATCTCTTTAAAAGGATATTACTAATTCTTATAGCATTGTAAATCGGAAGCATAGAGATGAACATCCACAAGTTTTAGCAATTAAGAGCAAATGAAATATTAAAGAGTAGCTGAGAGATACATATTTGACAACTTGTGGGGTAGTCTTATTTCGAAACGGTACAACCCTTGGAGAAAAGGTAGCATGTTATTAACACCTTCCTATTTTACAAATTTGTATACAAATGCGTGGGGCTGTTTTATTTCTGGTTTTGGCCAAAATTGATAAGTTATTTATCACTCCGATTTTTTCTTTCATTTACCATATTAGTTATTTTGTAATTGCAATTCTTTTTTTTTTTTGGTAAACAATTGCAATTCTTTTAATTACTCTCAATTAGATAATGTTTTAAATTAAATTTAATCAATTACATTTTCTACTATATATTCAGTTATAATAATAGACAATTTAAGAAATTGTAATTATAACTAATTAACTGGGTGTGTAAATACATAGTAAAAAAAATTCTAAATACGCTCCTTAAATTTTGAACGTAAATGTATTTAACGTATGTATGTATGGAATACGCGAACTATTTATGAAAACTTAAAGCTCATTCCTTGGAACTATTTATGAAATCTAAATACAGAAAAATGTGTTAATTAAGTTATCAGTATTTACTCCCAGAATATCTCGTTTTGGGTTGAAAGATTAAAAAATTATAATAATAAAGATTATTATAACCCTGAAATAAATTAAAATTATAAAAATAGCTTTGATTTCCGACCAAAATAATATTTTGGGTTCAATATAAATAGCTTCTTTGCATTCGCTACAGAAAAAATAACCCCATCTAATATATTTAAAAAAAAAATGAGTAAAAAAAATATTATTACGATCACATTGAAGTTTACCACAACAATAAATAGCCCTCAATGGATAAAAGAGTAACAATTCTGAAAGGGAATATAATATAATAACAAGCAAGTCACACATATGGTTTTTAAGAAAAGTTTGGGAAGCTATACATTAGTTGATATCAAGTAAAAAATCATTTTAAACCAAAAATTTAAGTTTGTAAGTGAAATTTCATCAATAGTTTTATATTTCTTTAACATAACCCCTCGCGCAAGAACCCTTTAGGCTTGAAGCGTAGATATTATAAAGACCTATTTTAAATTTTATATTGCTGAATTAATTCAACTAGAACCTAAGGTGATGAGAATCGAATTCGTGAATACGTGATCACTTTGACTTTGATATCAGGTAAAACAAACATATCACCTAAAAGTTTAAAATTGTAAGTGAAGAAAGCCTATCAACAATGGCGGAGCCCACATAGCAACCCAGGTCAGGCCAAAAAAATTTAGTCCGGGCCACGTTTGTTTAGCTAATTGAAACCGTGGCTAATTTTCAAAATTTAGCCTAAACCAAGGCCCTCTCCTGCCCAACGTGGCTCCTCCACTGCTTATCAATAATTTTATATTTCTCTGATACTTGTTAAAATAACTTATGACTGATGATGATGGAAATAAGTTAGAAGTTGTTTAATTTGAAAAAAATAAATAAATTAAAACTTGTTGAGTCTAACAACTCACTTCAACAATACCTATGAGAAGAGGAAGAGGCCACTCCTATGATTCTTTTGGTTGATGATGAAGATCTAAACTTGGATCTTTCGAATTCAGGAGTAATTTGTGACCTTAAACATTATCAAGGAGGTTTGGCCAAGGAGTTTTAAAACATTCAAAAGCACCATTCCTAAAGGTGTTGAGGATAACTTTCACTCACAACGATGCTACCGACTCCTCCAGCGACGACGAAAAACCATTCAACTCTTCAGGGTGCCGCCAATGACACAAGAAGTGTGTGGGAGAGATTATTGTTTGATAAATCAATCTTCGGAATGACAACTTTACTCTTTACCACTTTATTACTTGTATGACCGGTGCATTTGTCCAAATCACAACCCATCAAAACGCAAACGGTTGTGGTTGGGAACACATGACACAGCTGAGGAAGCTGCCAAGGCCTACAACCAAGCCGCAATTGAGCTGCATGGACCTGATGCACTCATCAATATCGTAGAGACACCAACCACGGCGGAGAATACTAACCTGCCGGCAGTGGAAACTTCCATGACTACAATGACCGGTGCATTAGTCATATGTCTTGTACTAGAATTTTTGCGCAACTATGTAAGGTAACTTAAGAATGGGCTGCCTGTACATTTGCCTAAATGTGTTTAATTTTAATATTTAAGACTTTATTATTATTTTATTTTTTTTGGTAAACAAATTTTGAAGTCTTAAATTCTCTCAAATTTAAGACTTTTATTTTGTAATTATTTCACAAAATCAAGACATATATTTACCATATTTAAGATTCGGAACTTACAAGGAAAAAATCCAAGGATTGCTATGGTATTATGCATCTTATTAAAACAGAGAATATAATTTTCATATAAATTGAGGTAATGAAATGAGGTCGAAAATCTAGTCTAGTTAAAAAGTCCTTTACGCAAAGCTAGACAGTTTAAGATGCATAGAGAGGGACGGAGAAGAACCAAAAGATGTGGAAAAGGAAAGAGAGCAACCATATAGGATTGAAGTTTTCTTAAACTCTTGAATAATAGTATGAACCAGAATAACACGGCTGATCCACCATTTTATCCTTTTTAAATTTTTTTTTTTATCAATTTATCTCGTCTCCCAAATTACGTATCAATCTACTCCAGTTTAATTAAAGTTTGACTATCATTTACTCTAAGAAATGATTTGGTGGAATAAATGAAGTATTAGTAAAGAGGACATGCGTTGCACTTTGGAGTATTACTCGTGAAAGTGCTTCCTTTTAATCCACCTTCGTTGCTAATATTACCTTCAGACAAACGACATTCTGGGAGAATATATTTCTACATACATAATGAATTGCAACGTGAATGGCAAAACAGAAACATTCGCCATAGAACCAGCAAGAATCACCCTCAAATTAACACGCTAGCGAGTAGCGATTTCTATTTTGAATGTGGTTCCTAAGCTTTTGCAGCAATATTCCATGAGAGTTTACAAATGATGTATTCGAGTAAATATAAACATTTATTCGAGTAAGTAAATGGCGTCAAACATATTAACATATAATTTGAGAAAGGCGATAAAATTATATATAATCTAGAAAAGGGTAAATTGATAAAAAAAATTATAAAAAAAGACAAAATGGTTAATCGGTGAATAACACACCACAAACAAAAGCCACATTTCGTAAGTTTCGGTATTAAAACAAAAGGAAAGATATTCTTACTACCAAAATTTTTTACTACTAACTTACTACCTATCTAATCACCATTGAATCAAAGAGAAAGAATGCTAAAAAGTTTTTGAAAAAAGAAAAAATGTTGATCCAATGGTGATTAGATAGGTAGTGAGTCAGTAGTAGAAGATTTTAGTAGTAAGAATATCCCTCCTCATTAAAACAAAGTATATAGTAAAATTAATGAATAAAGATATCAAAATGGAATACCACTAAAAGCTCATTATGTCGAGCGACTTATGAAATTTAAATGTAATCAAAAATAAAACAAGTAAGAAAAAACAATAGTATATGTGACAACAATAAATAGCTCTCAATACATTAAAGAGTAACAAGAACAACCTAATTACATAAAAGTGCAACAATAACAATATTACAACCACACAAATCTGAAAGGGAATGTAATATAATAGTACATCAAGTCACAAATATGGTTTTTAAGACAAGCTGGGCAACACTATCCATTAGTTGATAACACATAATAGTACTTACTAAGAACTGAGAACATATAAAGGAACTGAGAATTCATCACCATTTTAGGAGCCTGTTTTGATGTTCAGCAAACTCATCCATACATAGAAATACTTTTCAGCCTGTTTTGAACTTCAAATTGATTAAGAGATTACCAGAAGCTCTGCGTATTGACAGCAATTTTTCATCCATTTGTATTGAAGTATTACAGATTATAGTAATCCTTTCCACCATGGTGGCTCTTGCTATCAAGTACTTTGCAAATTCTACTTCCCGTTCTCTGCCCCTGAATCCCCTCAGGCAAACTGTCTTCAGCTTTTGGCAAATACAAATACAAGGTTCTACTCTCTCCCAAAACATGGAACCGATATAAGATGAAGGATTTTGAGAGCTGTTGTAATCCTGAAATAAATGGATACATTCATCAATGCAAAGCTTTTCAATTTTGAGAGATCTCATAGCAAGATCATATTTACATTAGCTATCAAAGGAGAAAAAAAAAATAATGAAAAAAAAAACAATGGCTTTATATATTTTGCCCACTTTTTCACATTCAGCAAATTAAACTCAAGATATCCCTGGATAAAATAAATAAATTAATAAAACACATACACACAACAACTCCTAATGATAAGAAGTCAAAAATCATAAAGCATATATAGGCGTAGTTATCCGGATTGAAAATATTTTTTAGTGCTAACACAAACAGGATAGTATATACAAGCAGTTAACATGAGTTTTTTTGTGTTGTAAGTAGTTTGATGATTAATGCACAAGAATAACAGTTTTGTGATATCCCCTATTAAATTTTGATATACGCGCAAGTACTGGAAAGAATAAATAATAATTTATTATATTTCCCTTTGTGTTATGAATTGTTTCACATATAATATTAGAGTTGAAAAAAAAATGAAGGGGAAGAGTGTTTGGTCTTTCTCATTTTTTACAGTGGAAATTTTTTTTAGCTTGGTTTGATTGTTGAAAAAATTTAGAGTTTTGTATTATCTGTTGACATATAGTGGGGTTAATTTTATATTTCTAAGAAATAAATAAAGTATAATTTGTGTACACTTTCTTATATTTTTACGAAATCAAAGAAACCTTAGAAGTTAATGGGCAACAAAGTGAATGACTCTAGCCTATAAGTAAATGAATTAAAGTCACATTTGATGGAAAAATGAGTTAAAAATGACAATTAAAGGGTAAAAATATGTGTAGGAAAAATTATCCAAAAGATAAAAGTAAAAATAGAAACATAACTAGAAAAATATTTTAGTCCATTGGGTAAAGTTTGTTAATGAATAGAGGTGACTGGATAGATAAGTCTTTACCTAGTTGAATTTCATTTAACCTAAGTAAGTGAAAGTTTCAAAACTTTCTCGTTTCTTCTTCGTCTTCCGGCAGACTCGATAGTGAGCAAGGAAAAAAAAGTTTTTGAGTGAAATCATCCAAAATTCATAGAGAGAGCTAGAGACCTCTAAATCACTTCGTTCCAAAGCCAAATTTTTGAGAAATTTCAAGAGGAACACATTGGTACCCATATTTTCGTATAGGGTTCACTATAAAGAGAATTCTTCTTCCCCTAAGATTATGGATTTCATGGAAAATATGGGTTTTGATGGAGCTTGAGGCTATGGGAGCTTGAAGTAAGCTTTCCCTTTCATTCTTGGGTACATTGTGATAAAGAATCACCTCTCTTTTCTTGTTTCCATGAAATTTTAAGAATTCTAGGTTTTGTGGTGAATAATGCATGAAAATGTGAGGATTTTATGGATTGTGATGGTTGTTTGTGGTGTATTCATGTTGTAGAGTTGATCCTAACGTTATTTTGAGAGATTTTCACAGATTGGAATCCATATTCGCTTGAGTTGGAGATTTGTGGATTTTTCACATTAAGGTAAGTCATGGTATGGATAGTTAGAGAGTGATTTGGATATAGCTTCCTTTGTTAAATACTTTTAGGATTGCTATTTGATGAATGACAAAAAAAATCATCGTTTAGCTCACTATAGAAAATCATGAATTTGGCTATATGTCAATTTTGAAAATTTAATGATATGAGTAGTTGGAGGTTGATTTGTAGGTGAGTCCCTTTGTTAAATATGCTTGGGATTGGTTCCTGTAAAAGAAAAAATTATGAAGTCGCCATTTAAAAAACTTTGATAAATTGGACTCAAAATCAAGTGTAGGTGACTTGTATGTGTAGTATTGGAAATTGATTATGCCTAAAGTGAACATATGGGTGGAGGAGCCCTCCAAGAACCCGTAGTAGTTTACTGAGATGGTTGATCTTACCCCGTTTGGGGAGCTACATTTTAGGTACAATAGCTGATGGTGTTGAGGATCACATGGCAGGAGGCCACGGGAGAGCTATTACTTGACATGAGATTTAGATGTCATTTTATTTTGTACTTGACATGCTTTACGAGTTTTCCTATCTTTGAGATGTATATGTCATGATATTCTTTTGTGAGCATAGGATATGTATGTTGGTAGTGTTGTATGTATGGGTCTATGTTACTTACCTAATTACATCTCTTTTGGTTGGTTGATATAATCATATAAGTAGGTTTATGGACTTTATTTTGAAACCTGTTATGTATGGGATAACCTATGCCATGGATGGCTGGGTAATATGATTTATGCATGTATTATATTAAACTGTTAATCAGGTTGAAATTATCATGGTGGGAATTATTCCAGTGGTCCAAAACACAGTCAAAATGATATAATTGCAGAGAGTCTAGCTGGTTGTGGTTCTAGAAATTTCCACACTTTGATTAATCGGTGTCGTGCTATTGAGGATCTTCATAAAAGGCAGAAGAAAAAGAATGCTAAAGAGTCTGATCCTAGAAAGGCAAGTGGCTCTACTTCTTGGATGAACAAAGGAAGTAAAGATCTATAAGTTAAACAATCTGATAACAAGTTTAAGAAGAGAGACAATCATGGAGAGAGTGATAAAAGTGAATTTCTGCTACCTAAATGTATTACATGTTGGAAGGCTCATAAAGGCACATGTTGGTATGAGCAAGGTGTATATTCTAAATGTGGCAAACTAGGCCACTTTGCCAATGAGTGTTTAAAAAGGATCGATCAAGTTGCAAGTATACAAGTTGTACCAATGCCTCAAGTTGGGGGTCGAGTGCACACCATAAAATCATTTAATACAGAGGATAATGTCAATCCAGTCAGACATATGAATTTTAAAGACACTCATTTAATGTTGTTCACCAATAATAATGACTACCTTGTGATTCCATTTTGTGGTGAAGTGTGAAATTGTTATTGCCTCCGTTGCTAAGGATGTTAAATGAAATAATATTCCTTCTTGGAAGGTTAATAGAAAATTAAGATGATAGGTTAATACACCAAATGGGAAAACCTTCTAGGTTAGCTTGTCAACATGAGGTTAAGGTATTAAGATGTATGAGTCCTTAAGAACTATATGGATTGACCCTAGAAAATGATGTATTAAACACATATATGTGTGTGTGCTCAGAAAGTTCTAAGTTAAGATGTTAAATCCATAGACTTGATTGTAGTTTTATCAATATAAGATTATGCTCTACGAAGATAAAAGATAAATGGAGCAAAGTAATATAATGAAAGAACATGCTTTAGTCATGCACAAGGGTGTGCGAGCCTCTAGAGGCAATGGTGTATAGCTATAGCCTGATATAATAGGAATGAATAATTCACCTGCATTAAGTTTACATGAAGGATGTATTTGCTAGTGAATGAGAAACTCTTTAGCCAGGTTAATATGAAAATATGGGGCTTTCCTTTGGGGAAATAGTTCCTAAGGGTGGTGACTATTGGAAGTACCCGAATAGACTCTGCTTAAAAGAATTAACTTCTTTAAGTAAGACTCGTGGATGTGCCGAAATAGAGAAAGAGAAATTCTGACTAAGAAAGATGTCAACATGGTATTATTAGTGAAAGAGCTAATATAGCATGAAGTTTGAGTATAAAAATAAAGAGTTGTATACTTAGTGAAAGAGCTAAGGTACAATTAAAGTAAAGAATTATATACTTAGTGGAAGAGCTAAGGTACAATGAATGTAAAAGATTGTATAATTAGTGGAAGAGCTAATCTGCAATCATATGTAAATGCATGGCATAATTAGTGGAAGAGCTAATGTGCTGTTAAAGATGAAAATTGTATATTTAGTGCAGGAGCTAATGTACGTACAATAGAATGAGAAAAATGTATACTTAGTGAAAGAGTTATGGTACCATTAAATGAGAAAACTGTATACCTAGTGGAAGAGCTAATGTACAGTTGAGAAGTTTAATTGTGTGATTAGCGAAAGATCCAATATGCAATTGAGAACGAGTATAGAGATTGTATAATTAGTAAAAAAACTAATATACAATTGAGAAATTATATGATGTTCTTTATGAATACCCTTAGATCGATGTCGATAAAAGGCAAAATGTTCTTTGGGTATCCACATGAAATATGAATTTATGTGAAAAACCTAGATAACCTATAGCTAATAGGTCGCAGATCGGGTGCCAATATGGGAAGAGAATTGGTATTATATATATGAATTAAGACATAAATGATGAGTACAGTCATGTATGTATGCTTCACATGCAAGTTAGATGAGAGATATTAAACAAGGATTTTGGGCACGGTAATGTTGTCCCATTACTTGTATATATTTTAAAATGTGATAAGAAAACGTGCTAGACACGGAATAAGGTGAAACCTTGTACTTAATAGAAAGATAGGGTGAGATATTACAAAGATGATATGTATAATAAGACTATGCAAATGAATTCATAGCCAGGAAATATTATCGCTTAATGAATAGTTGAAGATGTAGTCCCAAGGTATGACCTAGGCTGTGTGAGAATGTAAGATATAGAGATCTTGAAAGACTTATAACCTGAATGAACAGGTATTATTAGAAATCTAAGTAAGACCATGAAGGGTCAAGGTATAATACATGCACTACAACTGTTATGGATAGACGAAACTGTGATCTTGGAGAACGACTATGGTGATAAATGAACGTAAGTTATATAGACGTAGAATCCTTATGACCTTGACGAATGTGGATAGAGATGAGAAGAGGATGAGAATAAGACAATCCCTATGATTAAAGTCCAATGGGAGGGCAGAGTGCCTAAGGAGGCTACTTGGGAGCGTGAGGATGAGATCTTTCGATTATATCCTGAGTTTGTTTCTAGGTATGATCCTATTTTGCGGACAAAATTCTAAAATAATGCGGTGAGTATAATGACCCTAGCCTACAAGTAAATGAATTATGAAAAATGAGTTAAAAATAACAGTTAAGGGAGAAAAATATGGGTAGGCAAAATTACCCAAAAGGTAAAAGTAAAAATAGAAATAAGACTAGAAAAATATTCTAGTCCATTGGGTAAAGTTTGGT